TGAATATTAAAATAATTACATCCTTATCAGAAGGAAGTCACAGAAGTTTTATGGTTCCAAAAAAACAAAAATTTTTTTCAGACTTATTAGAATGGTGTATAGGAGAAGACTGTGAGTTTATTCCTTCCGCAACAATCAGTCAATTAACTTACAGCACAGTGCAAGTCAACACTCTTCTAAACCACTTACATCAACAAGCTTAATGCGCTTTCCATTCAGCTCAGTCCCATCAAGTTTCCTTAGGGCATCTTTCATATCTCTCTTGCTGGCAAACTCAAGGACACTGAACAAAACAAATCAAATCAAAAACAAGAAAGTGACTAGTTGGAAACATACTTCAACAGTTGTTGAACAAAATTTTGAGGATGGGTGATGTCAGGTTTGCACAGGAAGGGGAAGAGGGGGAGGGGGGAATATAATATTCTTTCCTACAAATGTTTCATGATCTCCCTATAAGGACCATAAACACAATTTAACTAACTAAAACGCCATGGTTTGGCATATTATGGCCGAACACAGGTCACCAAATTTGTTACTTTCACAGCAATTTTAGTCTACTTGCCACAGTGACTGAAGTGGTCAGAGCTTGGAGTGCTTAGGCCTGCTACTTCAAATTCGTGTATCCAGCCAAATGAACTAACTAGGAAGCAGTGATTCTCAACAATGAGCCTACTAATTCACTGCACACTACAGGACGGCAAAAAAGTTTTCCAACAGACTTACTTACCCTTCACCTTGTCTTTGTTTGTGTGCATCTCCATATGTCACTTCTCCAGCTTGGCGTACATAGTCTTTGAGATCCTAATAATGACAGTTGTACTTAACAAAACAACCTTGGTCATGACTTATGCAGAGATTTTATCATCCTGAATTCAACTTTAATCATTTGACTTTTCAGTTATCTAGACAGGGGTCACTGTCCCTCAAGGAAACCCTCATCTATAATGCAAAATAGTGAAAACATGGAAACTTCCCTTCCTATTTATTTTCTTTTCAATGGTATATATTTTTCAACCCTTTTCTCATCTTAACTTTGAACTGTAGCTGGCTCCGAAGACAAGTTTGACAAGCCCAGGCATATCAAGAAACTAGTGTGACAAATTAAAATACTACAGTAACAATTTCGCAGGAATCCACCGTCTGAGTCATTTTCAAATCGCACAGTTCATCAGTCAGCATTTGCCACGGGAGTGTTTTTGTGTCATGCCTTTGTTAAAACTTGGCTCGTCATGATGATAAGTATCAACATCGGATGGCATCTGTGCATCAAAACCACTCAAACGTCAGAGGGGAGCGCATCTAATCATCTAAGCATCTGTGACTACCCTCACATCACCCCTCACAAGCGCATCTTGTAACTGAAAATATTTCAAGGCAAGGTAAAGTTTTATCAGACCTGCCTACATCAAGTATATAACATCATATATTTAGTTTTATCTTGTTTTCCTTTAATGTTTAACAGGATTCTTGTTCAGTAAGCAGGTATTTCCTCATAAAACACAGCAATAATGCTAATTTTATTCCCATTAACCCAACAACATCAGCAAACAGTCACATACACCTGTATTGCTTTAGAAACTGAAAAAAAATGTATAAGAAGCACTGAGAAACATCATCACATAATTATGCAAAGTGTGAATTTAAAGCTCTTGAATCATTTTACTTCAACTATAAAATTAAATTCAACACCATGGACGAAGCAGCAAACACAACTTTTTCAACACAACCAGTTCTTTAGTTTTATTCGCAAAATCATTACCAGAACCGAACCATCTTTCACTTTCAACCCCCTGTAAAAATCATATTCACAGCCTAACTAGAACATTGAAGAAACAAAAGATGGCATTACTTCTTTAATATCTTACTGACCTGCCAACTAACACGCGTTGATAAATTTTCTACTCTGATCCTCCAAGGTGTTCTTACAGGAGGTCCATACCTACCAAGACAAAAGAAAGTGATGAGACTTAGACATTACTGCTTATCACAAAGAAATTTCCTTGTACTGCTTCATGTTTTTCATTTCCTTCTGTTACTTTTTCAAGTGCAAGAATATTTGAGCATGAACTCAAAAGAAGGGAAAAGAAATTCTTAACCCTTTAAGCCCCAATATCCACATACAAATTCTCCAAACTGATCTCTACATGTTTCCTTAAAGAATGAGTTGAGAGAATTTGACAAAAGATCAAAGCATTTTCTCTTAAGTGATCATTTTATTAATTCTCATAACCTAATCTCTTGACATTGTACGGACATCATTATGAGAAAATTGATGTTGGTCACTATCAGGACTTAAAGGGTTAAAACTTAAAACCAAGCTAGAATCTACTGCACTTACTTATCTCTGGCCCTGGATTTGCGGCCACCACTGAAGCCTCTGGCTGTTCCGCGTGAATGTTCAACTAGGATCCTGAAATCAAACAAGTCACACTGACCTGATTAGGTGTCTTGCTTCTTGTTAAGGATGGAGATTACTTAATTCAAGTGATTATTACTAATAAGAAAACATTACTTTAAATTAAATAACAACAACAGCTACTAGTACTGCTGATTTCCTAAAGGAGATAAAGGCAGCTAATCACTCTTACACAAACAGATAATGGTTTGGCATCTAAAACTTGGACAAGCCAATAAAAATTGTTAAAGCAAAACTATTGAAGACTTTTTCACAAAAAAAATCAAATGTTCAAATCTCAAATGTTAGCTATACCCAAACATGATATATCAGGCAGACAATGACGTAATAGAACAGGCAGAATATTGATAAAATGCATATTAATCAAAGCTGCGAGTAACAGTCGATTACTGGACAATGTCCTGCAATCAACTGTGATGACTGGAGAGATGAAAACCAAAGACTAGAAGTCAACATGGTGTATGCTTAGCACATTATTTTTCTGGAATAATTTTTAAATTTTGTCAGGCCCGTTAATGCATACCTTTCTCCCATCATTTCTTTCCCATTGCATTCATAAACAGCATCTTCTGCATCTCTGCTATCTTCAAACTCCTGAAAATGGAACACACAAGAAAATAATTATGTATGTACAGTATTAGAAACTTGAATTTACACAAGCATTCCAAAAGTGAAACACAAAATGACTTTCTAACCTAAGCACTCTGGTGGTGACTTAAGAAAAACCAGCCACTAATTGACATATAGACAATTCAAATTAGGACATAAGAAGATAAAACTTGCATGAAAGTACTGATTTTGCGTAGATGTAATTTTTGTCGCAGTACATTCACAGTAACATTTGCAATTTTGTACAATTATTGCACTTGTTTAGTTTGGCTCTATGAAGCACAGAAACCCAAAAAGTAACAAAAGCTGTACAAACTGATGTTTGCCAAATTGTGATTCTACATCTCTCAATAATATAATAATTTCTGAAAAAATGCACAACCAGGGGCGGGAGGAAGCTACTTCCCACACATTCTCTTGAATGAAAAATCCAGAAGATGTTCTCACATTACTTGCCAAGTGATCAGCAAAAGTCTTGCCAGTGGATTTGTGTACTGATCATGCACTTTATGTCAAAAACCATAGATCAACGGTCTTGGGAAGGAACAAAAACATGGCGGTCCAAGGTGGGACTGTTTCTCACGATTAAATTTTGGTAATTCGCAAATTTATGGATTTTATTTCGCTTTTCCGACATAGTGTGTGGTTTTCTTTTTCTCTTAAGCAATTTCCCTCTGCAGAGTTTGGAATATGCAACATATAGCTCCCTATGGCTGATAAGTACTGCCGAAGAGTTGAGCTATCGAGTAGTGTTTTGCTGCAAACGTGACAGTGAAAACAGAGAATTCTATGATTTACCCGGGACATTTTTACATCATGGAAAGAAGCGAATCCTACATGCAAAACTGTATCAAATCGCAACCATAAATTGAGCTTAAAACCCCATTTACCCGCGCCATGCTGACGATTTCAAGGCACGGCACTCCCAATTTTTGACGCGGAAATGTATTGGTCCCAAATGTAATCTAGCACCAGTGCTCAAAATTTTAGGGGTGCCGAGACTTCCTCCCGAAGGTAGTCTCGGCACGGGTAAATGAGGCACAGTGCCAAAAATTTGGCGTGCCGTGCTGATTTTTTAGCACGTGTAAATGGGGTTTAAATTCCACCAAATCTGCCGAGTACAAAAGGCTCGACTTTTGTATCAACAATCCAAAACATCAACAACTTATGCCCTGAAAATTTTCATATTAAAGGCCATTAAACGTCTTGTCAACGTTTATAATACGTCAGCTGAATACGTCCATTTACCATTCATTGCCCAAGCAAATACAATAATTACATGCAACCATGTGCTTCACATTAAAAATTACACCATGAATTAAAGTTAAATCTATTCTTTTGGTTCACACTCAAGGAAATTCACATGCATTGAAAATCGTGAACAAAAATAATAGGAAACTCTTACCACAAATCCATAGCCATCCTTTAAATTGATTTCTCGCAGTCTTCCGTAGTTACGAAAAAACTTTTCGACGTCTCGTTGCCTCGTACCGTAAGGCAGTCTTCCCAAATAAACGCGACAAGTCATCCTTTTAACTGCGCAAAATTTACACTAATTAATATTAAAGGCCGAAAAGAAATCTAAGGGCCCTTTATGAAGGTTTAAAATAGAGGTAAAAGCCAAAACGGCGGCTCAGCATCTATCCAAAATGGACGCTTCGACGAAGACTGCAGCGGTGCATGACGGGTACCCAGAGTCCCAAGCCTAACCGTGAGAGATCTGGGAATTAAGTCACTTGTGAAAGTTTCCATGGTTTCCATAAGCATTTTTAAGTCCGGTGCACACATTGTGCACACTTAGCATTTTCGAGTCGATTTCGTCCGTCCAGACGTATCTGTAGCGCGAGGAATACGGGGAAAGTACGTAAAAATGCTTGACATTCCGAAATCGAGAAGAAAAAACGGGCTGGCGAGCAAGCCTGCCTTTAAAAATTAAAGTGTAATAAAACAAGACAACAAAACATATGGCGTAATGGCGGGAACACCGCTCCGCGATCGGCGTTGTGGACGACTTCCATAGCGTGACCATAAAGCGCTACTTATCTCCCCGGCGCTAATTTATGCGCGCCAAATCGGACAAGTTCAGGTAGGTCCAAAAGAAACAAACTTAATATGGCCTAACACTCAACGGCACTACGAAGTAACCTCCCACGCTGACGTTCTTAGAGGTTCGTCACGCGTTCCTCGAACGCACGACGAACCCCTAAGAACGTCTGCGTGGGCTGCTACACTACGAGCTAAAACCTCCGGCCAGCATCGTGCAACTTCATGGAACGGTGTAGGCAAATATTTTGTTCTAGGAATAGCACTACGAGCCGACTCCGCCGGCACGTGCTGGAATACAATCAAATATAAAAGTTTTCGTTTAAAAAATGAAAGCTTGGGGAAGTCGCCGTGAGACTTGAACCGAAGGCGAAAGAAAACGGTGAGCCCCTGTTTATTAGGAACCATAACAAAGCCTCCAAAGGGAGGGAAGGGTGGGAATTACAAAACTTTAGGACGGTTGAAGTATTCCAACTTAGCAATACAGCTCGGAATGAGAAATAGGACTTTTACTACGCCTTTTATAGTCCGAGTGCTATCCCAGGGTATGCCAATGAAAAAAATATTGTACTACTGAATAGAACGTGCACCTAAAGTGCTCCACGAGATATGCAGGAGGAAAATTATTTTTACTAGCCATACAAAACAAGCGATACATCAGGAACTAGCCTAGCCTCCCCGCAGACGTCCTTTGGGGTTCGTTTGAAATGAATGCGTGACAAACGAACCCCAAAGGACGTCTGCGGGGAGGCTAGTATAGGAACTAGCCCCAACTGCAACAAAACAAGGATTGCTATTGTATCAGTAATTTCCCAGCTACGGAAGTAATTTTACGCACTACCCAGTACTTTTACCCACTACGAGTAAAACTCGACGAGATTTCATAAGGGCTAAGTATAACACTGCGTTGCATGTTGCTGATTGAGGGCGTTAAGCTCCATTAACTGCGTTTTACAATTGAGTTGTAAAACTTTCTACAACATAAATTTCCCGCAATTTTTTTCAATTTGACAGCATCGCCAAACTATAGAATTCAGCTGTGCCATTAAGTAACTCTTATATTAAAGGTACGGACAAAGCCGCTTGCAGTGGGGCGGGTGAGTGTTGCAGCGACAGTTAGTTTTTAACTACTAATTGCAATACCAGATAAAATTCTCTGGTGTGTCAAGCTGAAATTACTGCCTACTACTAAACCAGTTCACTTCCAAACAAAAGTTCCACTTAAGGTGCAAAAGGTTATTTAATTGCAGTGCTTATTGTTAGTTACCTATGGTGAATTACAAAACGTTCTTCGCTCATTATAGAGCTTTCCGCATCTGTACAGTTCAACTTCTATTTAAAATGAAATGTCATATCTGCATCAACACAGTTCAAAATGTGGTGATATAAATAGTCTAACCAGTCCTTCTGACGCCGTCGATTCGAATACGAAAGCTTCTACACTAATGTAGAGAGTAAAAAGAAAAAAAATAGCCATGACAAGTCTCTTAGAGAGAAACGTCAAGAAAATGACATCTTATCACTCAGCATCATCAGCTTCACCGGCCCGATCTCCTTCTGCTGAATTATGATTCTGATTATCATCAGCTTCCGGTTCCGCAGATGCTTCTTTATCATTTCTGGGTGATCGAGATCGAGAGCGTGAACGTGAACGTGATCGGGACTTGGATTTGCGCGGAGATCGTGAACGGGATCGCGACCTGGACCTTGAGCGCGACTTGGAATGCGATTTACGTCGTGGCGATCGGGATCGTGATCTAGAACGTGATCGTGATTTAGAACGGTGGTGGCGTGATTGTGAAGCAGAACGCGACTTGGATCGCGACCGTCTTTTGGATCTGGAGCGGCTTCTTGATCGAGAACGAGAACGAGATCGAGAACGTGGACTTTCCTACAAAAATGATAATAAACAATTTGAGCCACACAGATAACCTGACAAGGAAGAGATGGAAAATGTGGACAAGAAGTTAGCCTGAGAAAACAGCCGACATTTCGCGACGCCACCGCCGGTTTCCCAGCGAAATGACGTCTGCGTAACGAGAGCAGAAATTCCATACTGACGTGTCACTACCCAGATCTGGGTAGAGTTTCTGATTGGCTGAAGCAAATTTCCCACGCGGCAGGACCAATCAGTAGCCCTAAACAGATCTGGATAGTTATGCGTCATCAGTAAGGAATTTCAGCGCTCGTTTCTCAGACATCATTTTGCGAGGAAACCAGTGGTGGCGTCGCGAAATTTCGACTCTTTTCTCAGGGTAACAAGAAGTTCATTTAATGCACACTTGTTCAGATTAAAGGTACATGTTACGAAGTTAATGGTAAATAAAATATGACTTCACTTACATCAACAAGCTTGATACGCTTTCCATTTAATTCAGTCCCATCAAGTTTTTTCATCACCCTCTTCAAGTCTCTTTTGGTTGCAAACTCTAGGGTTCTAAAGGCAGCGAGTGGTTATAATCTCTTCTTGCACTTGCAAACACCTTGACTGAGGTGCTATAAGTACTTAAGGGATATATTTTGATCAATACATACTGCTATACACAAATGAACCTATTGGGTTACCAAGACCACCGTAAGCAATTATACAGCTTTATATAATGGTCTGAATGCTTTTTTCGGCTCCTGTTTCATCCAGCGTCTGCTCCCCGCAGGCTAGTGAAAGCCTCGAAAAAAAGTTTAGCAGGAGCTATTTACAACGAAAAAAAATGTGAAATGGAGGCAAAAAGAGTTCTTGACAACTTGAGAATGTGTAAACTGAAAGAAATCTTTACGACAGTTGCCATTGCGTGTCATCGCTTCGAGAGACTCGCTGTTTTGCAAAATGATTTCTCCATCATTCTGCTTTAAGCAAGAAAAGATTAGGAAAAACTCTTCGAAGAAACTGTATTCAAGAATAAGATAACAAAAAAAGAAGAAGCAGAGATGAAAAGTAGCATTTGGAACTTAAAAAATGCCTAAACTAGCTCAAATCCTTGAACAGCCAAGAATTACAAGGCAGGTATGTGTATCGGTCTTTTTTCTTTTCTGCATCATTGTATAAAACAAAACAGATTCCATGTTGCCGTGGGTCTGTTCAGTAATAGATCACAGAAGACGTCAAAATGTGGTAAAAACATTAGTGACATGCACTCGCCTGCGGTTCATGTGCCACTTCTTTGTTTTTACCACATTTTGACATCATCTGTGATCTGTTACTGAAAAGACGCACGGCAACATGGAATCTGTTTGTTAAATTAAAAACAAAGATGACACAACAATCTTATAGTTAACAACAACACTATTGACATTAACATCCTCCTCCTCCCCATTATTTCTACAAAAAGACACATATACACCTGCAATGAGCACCTGTAATGATTTTTTTCAACTGTACATCTGTGATGCTTTGACAGTAAAACCCTATTCACATTAACTCAATTTCCTATATTATATAGATAGTATGCAGTATTCCAGCAGTTTCACTTACCCTTCGCCTTTCCTTTGCTTGTGTGCATCTCCATATGTCACCTCGCCTGCTTGGCGCACATAGTCTTTGAGATCCTAGTAATAACAGTCACACTTGAGAAAAAACAACCCTGTAGCACCATGCTCCTGCACTAAGATCTTTGAAATTAAATTTTGCAAAATACTATCAGCCTGCCATATTACTTTAGTCTAGACTGTCAAGTAATACCACCAAGATTTTTAAACTTGTACTGAACCTTAAACCTCCTTGTTATGGTTAACACTGTCAAAAAGGAAGGAAACCTAATCTGTTTTCATTATTCTACCATAGCTATTTTACTTCCACACACAACTACACATGTGGATATATGGAGTGTATTTTAATTTTTGAATCTGTGGATAAATCCTAATGTGACCTTTCTCTTTGGCAAGCTTTTCAGTATTTTGCAAAATGAAATTGGGAATTTTCTCCTCCACATTTGGATTTGGGTATTTGGGTAACTACCAAGCTTTCTTAATCAGTAACACCTTTGCATCTGCACTCTTTCTGTTGTACAACACAGTCGGCCAAAAAGAAAAATTCAATTCTGTCTCGCCAGTAATCACAAAACGTTCAGGGCAGTCAATCATGACGAGAAAAGCAAAGTACTACAGCATCAATTTTACAGAGGTCCATCGTCTGAGTCATTTTGAAATCAGAAGGTTCGTGTACGTCTGTCATCATCGGCCATGAAGTTTTTTTGCATCATGCCTTTGTGAAATTTGCATCTTGTCATGACTGTGTGTATTGACTTCTGATGACATCTGAGCATCAAAACCATCATTGTATCAAAGGGGTGTACGTGTAATCATCTATGCCTCTGTGACTACCTTCATGTCACCCTTCATGGTGCATCTTGTAACTAAAAATATTGGTAGGCAAGGTAGTGAATACCACGTTTAAAGTCTATAAGACAGCTGCTACGGCAAGTCTCGCAAGGTAGTGAATACCACGTTTATAGTCTGTAAGACAGCTGCTATGGCAAGTCTCTTTAAGAAGTGACCCTGCTCATCAAGTTAATGCCTTTACAATGGCTCACAACATTTTAAGTAAATTATTATTACTATTACAGTAAATTATTATTTTAAAAACAGCTCATAAAAAGGGGATTTGGCTTTTTCCTCAATTGGAGGAACAAGTTACTTATTCCTCACTAACCTGCCAACTAACACGGGTTGATAAGTTTTCAACAGTAATTCTCCATGGCGTTCTTACTGGGGGACCATACCTAGTAAGACAACAGATTTAAGCAAAAACAATGTTCAACATAGACCAGTTTCGATATGGTTAAATAACTTCTTACTTGGCTCTTATTTACTAAGGTTTGCAAACTTTTGCAGGGTCACAGTTACAGTGCATGTCGCCAACCACTGCAGGCCCGTAACAGTCCCTCCACCACTGGAGAGATGTGCCTTACGCTTCAAGAACAGTGTGTGGGGTTTTTTAGTATCCCACAGAATGTATGGTTATAGAAGGAAGAATTACACTCTTCTTTTAAGCCTTAGTCTCCAGAAGGCTAAAGTTGATTCATTTTGATTCATCTTGGATTTGATTGAGCCATTAGATACAAGACACTTATAGAGGATCAGTTCCGGTGAGACTGCAACATCACCTTCTTGAAAATACAAAATGTAACAGGCAAAATAATTTTGTAACTATAAAGAAAAATTGTGCACTCACTTATCTCTGGCCCTGGACTTGCGGCCACCACTGGCACCAGCACCTCTAGCTGTCCCACGTGACGGCTCAACTATAATTCTGAAATAAAGGAACACAATATACGTTTTTAGATTAAGATCTTGTATTGGAAGATGATCTTTCACTGTGAGTGTTTCATCGCTGAACCATGATAAGCACTTATGTCTTACCTTTCTCCCATCATTTCTTTTCCATTGCACTCATAAACTGCATCTTCTGCATCCCTTGAATCTTCAAATTCCTTGATCATGAAAGATTAATGAATTAATATTAAGATAAAATGCACTACAGACAATAGCCATGGACTATTAGCCCCCAACCTCTATATGATTAGCCCCCAATACAAAAACACATACACTGTATGCTACTTTAGACAAATTTATTTCGATGATTCTCAGAAAGTTTATTCCATGATAGACAAAACTGTCAGCTCTACTGTAAGTACATGCAGGATTAAAACTTTTAGTACCCTCAACAGTCGTGTTATGAATTAACTATATGTAGCCCAACTGTGATGTAAAAAACCAAATCCAAAATTTCAAGTACCTGCTATGAAACTGCTCTTTTGATTCTGTACCATTGCACTTTAAAGCATTCATTTTGGCTTAACAATGCTTAAATCTCCTTGACTCTTGTAGGTGGAACACTTAGCAGGTAGTAAAGAAAGCTAAGACCTTGATTAAACAGACAACGACATATTGCAACTCTTCAGTTTATCAATTTCACAAGAAATAAATTGGAAGAAGTCTTCTGCAGGAGTAGGCGCGCTAGAGCAAAATGGCCAAGTTTTTTCTTTCTATGGAAATATATGTTTGGGGGCGAATTGCCTAAAGATTGTGGGCTGGTAGTCCAGGGCTAATTGTACAAGGGGTGAGTTGTCCAAATTTTAATACAAACACCGTCCATGCATAACTTAAGCTTAAATTAAGGTTTGTGTAAAGCTACAATACGAAGTATGCATGTGTTGAGCAAATTGTGGTCCACACCGGCCATGCAAAAACCTTTAAATTTTAGTAATGACTAAAAAGCGAAATAGTGTAGCTGAGAAAGACTCACCACAAACCCATAACCATTCTTCAAGTTGATTTCTCGCAATCTTCCATAGTTGCGGAAGAATTTTTCGATGTCGCGTTCCTTCGTGCCGTACGGCAGTCGCCCCATATAAACTTGGCAACTCCTACTCATCGCTGGAAATAGAAAACTCTCCGTTCAAGCTAAGCTTTAACTTAAATAGCGAGGTGAGAGGCAGTTTGGAACGAGTTTAAAGCAACCTTCGCCAAATACTAATCGAATTTCGCAGTATAAGTAAACTCTCAATCTCTTGCTTGAAACAAAATGGCTGCCCTGAGTTGATTGATCATGTGACTTAGTTACCATCACAATGCTATGAACGCTGTCCATTAGCACCGTGACTCAATGAAGCCGACCCAGTCCCCAGGGTCTTCTGTTTGGGGTCATGGAAAAATGTCTTCCATCCTACCTGAAAGATTGCTTTACAACACTTTACAACAGCGGAAAAGCAATGGAGAAATATTGTACTATGAAATATTTAAGTGGAAAATGAAACATGCACCAGGCACAATTCACCGTTTTTGTGACAGTTCACTGAGTGATCAAGAAAGGCAAAGTTTGACATCTTGGATGAGAAATTTGGATGACAGGAGTTCTTGCCAAAGACTGCAGATTCTATTTTCCTTTTCCGTTCCTTGTCTTCATGCACTTGAACATATTTTGAACTTAAGCACTCCCATTATCTCTGCAGGTGCAGTGAGTATTACAAAAAAGGGTTACTATCAGTTTTTATTTTTCAATGCATGTACATTGCCCGGGGGTGGGGGGGGGGGGTACTTTAGGAATTTCTGGGTGGGGATGTGCCGCTGGGACCCTGGAACCCTTAACCTATACCAGAGCTAGTTCAGCTGAATTTTGCTACCCTATACTAGAGTAAACTCCCCAAATTCCCCTATCCTAGAGTAGCTGTTTCCCTTGTCTAGATAAAATCTTCAACCAACTGATCAGTTTCGTGAAAAATGATACCCTATTCTAGACCCAAACGCTCCGACTTATATACCCTATCCTAGAGTAAACTGCCTGAAAACCATACCCTTCACAGCGGCACATACCTATTTAGCCCATATTTGGCAGTTACCCGGTACATTGTACTTACTATCTTTGTCCTTATTGGCTAAGAGTCTACAGTTAAGTTTGGAAATCAGCACAACCTACAGATTAGTTAGTTATCTGCCAGCAGTTAAGTGACCATGCTGTAGGTTGCGCGTGCATTGCATGATTTAAAATAGTAATGTCAATCTGTCTTCCATGTGATGCTGTGTTTGTTCCTATTTTCTTCAAAACACTGTATAATATGACAATTACTAGATTTGGTTTTTGTGATATCCAAAATAATCAACTTAAATTATTGGCTTGCTAAGATTTAGACAGTCTTGGACTCTCAAAAATTTGAAAGTCTAGGGTTTTGAAGTCTCATAAAATTCTAAACATAAAGAGGACCCCAATTTGGCTGTGCAGTAGTCTGCGCCACAGATGAAACTAAACTCTGGTTAATTCTCTTGTGAAACAGCACCGAAATCCTTGTTCGGGACCTCCACCTGTGTACCAGTATTTGAGTATGCGCTATGATTGGCTTGTTAAAAAAGACACTATTGATTGGCCAATCAGAGTGAAAGGAAATTCGAAACGCACTGCACTGCTTCACAGACGTTACTAACTGAGATTCAATTACATCTGCAATGCAGGCTAGGTGTGTAGCAGGGAGACTTTTATTACCATGTATGAATATGTTGTCTTAGGCCTGCTCTTTCCAGCTAATTTACTCTATAGTACCCATCTTTTGTAGGGGAATGGTTACTGGGAGTTTCTTCTTCAGGAAAGAGGAGCTGATATTCTAGCATTTGATCAGAACACTATTTATCCTCCAGAAATGAGATACATGGAGATTATGGTAACTTAATAAATCTGTGTAATCTTCATTAGTCTAAGATAGCTGGAAAGTTGAAAAAACTAAAAAAGAAAATTACAGGGTATATTGCGTGACAGTTCTCTTGTTTTGGGGCTGTTAAACACAGTCAGTACCTGCACATATCAGATCAGCATCAAATTCAGCGAGACTCTGTATTGACATGTATTGTGTGATGATTGATGTGAGGTGTAAAAAGCCTAGCAACTAAACTACTTACAGTGAATATAAAAAGAGTCAATGACAAGGCCTGACAAGACATGAATATGCTTTCTGGGTGCTAGTGTTTCAAACTGGTTAAGATTTAGCCTGTTCCAGGCTCCGAGATGGTGGTGCTAGTGTTTCAAACTTATTTGGTTGCTCGTTTTTTAATTTCCACTATACTATCTGAGAACTAGTTAAGATTTGACTACGTAACCTCATATCTTTTTTTCTAATTTGCCAATTAGTCTTTTTATATTTTGTTATCAACAAATCATTCCCTATTACTTTATACTTATCACAGAGCTCATGTATTTTGCTTACTTTGCTGAGAGCTGGTGAGAATTTAAGTTCTCTTGGTCCCTTAAACACTTGTGTTGATGAGTAACTAGCTAATCCAGAAGTGCAGAAGTTATGTAGCAATACATTTTCATTACTGTAATTTATGCATTTCTCTATTCCTTTTGTTTACTCAGGAAAGCAATCCAACCATCTTGTGTAATCATAGTGAGAGAGCATTGCTTCTGAGCTGGCCTGACCATAAAGGTGACTTGTAAATCTAGCATTGGTGACCATTGGTGGCAGTACTCAGTAGGGTCTTGGGGCACAAGTGCAAAGTGTGTGATATGGGAGCTGGGGAGGGTGATCTCAAACCTGTTCAAGTGTCCCCATAAGTCAAAATTGAAGGTGCCAGTCACTTGAAGAGGAAAAGGTAGGAAACTGAGTGAATTAAGTTTCAGGTCAGTTTTCCCACTATTAAGACCCTAAACAGAACCTGATTCACTCAGTTTCCTAACCTTAATCACTTAACTTCAGTGGCATAGTCCATTTTAGGGTAGTCCATGGACTGGGGGTCAGTGTTTTGTCCACCGCCGTCCTGAGCTGTTTAAAGCGTTATTTTGTGGGATGATTATTTGACCAGCAGTTTAAAACTAAAGAAGTTATAAAAACTGCGACACAAACAGAGGCTAATCTGCCAGTGGTGTAACCATTCGGATGAAACCTCCATGAAGGTGACTTGTAAATCTAGCATTGGTGACCATTGGTGGCAGTACTCAGTAGGGTCTTGGGGCACAAGTGCAAAGTGTGTGATATGGGAGCTGGGGAGGGTGATCTCAAACCTGTTCAAGTGCCCCCATAAGTCAAAATTGAAGGTGCCAGTCACTTGAAGAGACTTTCAAAAATATTATTACCCAATACGTACTTTTGTCAATTTTACTTTTGAAATGGTCAATATACACAATTCATAAGATGCAACCATTATCTTAGACTTTTCACAATAATCTGGCTCGTTCTTGCAACTTCGCTGCTGACTATATTTATTTAAGGTTCATCATTGTCATAATCATGATGATGGTCATCATCATCTCACTGAAAGTTATCATCTGCAAGTCTGCTTATCTCAAAGCCCTCAAGTTTATTTCAGTCCTTTGTGTGTTCCTTGACACCACAACCTATTCCGTCTATTAACCTTTCACTGCCAGAGTACGTGATGGAGTCTGGTCACAGGTAGACCACCCTATTTTGTGCGGCCGTTGTCATTGAAATCTGAGTACTGGTCTTTTGAACTCAATGGAAGAAATATAGATGAACATTACAGGAGCTACATTTCACTCCAAAAAACAGATTTGAACCTAAACGTTCAAGGGAAATGTTAGCTTAGTCATCTGTCATTTTTTTTCTTGCTGTCCTAAGCAGTGGTGGACAGAACACTGACCCCCAGTCCATGGACTACCCCCATGGACTACCCATATAGACTACCCTAAAATGGACTATGCTGCTGAAGGTTAGTGATTAGGGTAGGAAACTGAGTGAATTAAGTTTCAGGTCAGTCTTCCCACTATTAAGACCCACTTTTGTTAAGACCCTAAACGGAACCTGATTCACTCAGTTTCCTAACCTTAATCACTTAACTTCAGTGGCATAGTCCATTTTAGGGTAGTCCATGGACTGGGGGTCAGTGTTTTGTCCACCGCCGTCCTGAGCTGTTTAAAGCGTTATTTTGTGGGATGATTATTTGACCAGCAGTTTAAAACTAAAGAAGTTATAAAAACTGCGACACAAACAGAGGCTAATCTGCCAGTGGTGTAACCATTCGGATGAAACCTTCAACACATACATGCCCTCCCTGATCTCTCTTATCCCTGCTAATGCCATACACATTCTTGGGTAGCACTGTTACGATGACAAGCGAACTTTAACCTCTGATAGTTTACATAAGCATGAAATGGAACCCAGTATAGGTGACTGCATACTGTCCCACATTGAAGAAGTACAGTATAGATGCAGTTTGATTGCTTTAAATGGTCAACCGAAAAAGCGTTTTTAATTTTTTTTATATTGTTTTCTTTCTTTTCAGAGGGCTGCTTATTCTCTTTGGACTGCCTGAGGCATTACAAAGGAAACACTGTCATTCATATTGGTGAACTATTTGGTGAGACGCTTTCAACCAATCCCTGGGGCCAAACCACCTCACGTGATTTCCAGCTTCGACTTGGCGAGACTTTTCGTTGTGTGTCACGTGTTCAGCTGCCAAACTGGCCCGGTCACATGGACTCATTAACTGTTTGGTCACGTGCTCCACAGCCCGTAGAGTGTTATGGGGCGGAAATGGTGTTTATAAACTCGACGAATCCAAGATACATAGGCTGGAGTGACACCTAATTTAAGAACATACAACTCATCGTCGGTGATAGTTTGACAAGAGCTTCCTATTTGGCTAACACCTGTGAAAAGTTGAACGCCGACCTCATATTTTTCCTCCAGTGTGGCCCACCGTCCACACGTATCCAGTGAAAGCGGTCACCGAAAACGCGTCTTTTCAAAACACACTACAGAGTGGAGATTTTTAAAAACACGGCCGGCTTGTCGTTTATTCGAGGATAGACGAAACAAGATGTGATGCATCATTTACTACAAGCATTACGCACGCTCTGTGACGGATGCTATTGTATTTTAATCGTATTTCCATCGTTTTCGTGTGGATGGGTGAAAACGATTCGAATGCGCTACGTGTGGACGCGTATTTTTACACAAACGGAGGGGAAAAATCTCCGTTTTCGAAAGATTCAAGTTAAATCAAAGTTTATCAAATAAGAAAACAAACAGCGAAAAAAAAATCTGAGCAACATTACACACTTAACGGGATAGGTTTTCGTGCCAACACTAAGAGATATCCGGTATTGTATGAACACCTATCCTGGGGCGAGAACTTTGGAGGTCGGCGAGGTGCAGGTTCGCTCCGTTAGGGTTGATTTCCGGTGTCGTGCAATTTCTACGTGCGTACGTGCGTACGTGCGTAAAATTTACGTTTGCAAATAAAATTGAGGCAATGCATGAAAGGTCGCTCGTAAGCGTAAAAGTTGATCCTCGCTCAACTTCTCGTTTAAGCTCAGCACTTTTTATCTGACCTGCGATCAGGTGTCCTTCTTCCCTTTTTATTTGGGAGACGAGGGGAAAAGGACTTTTTTGCTCCCCCCCCGCCCCCGCTACAAAAAGATGCTTGATCGCAGGTTACTTTTTATCTTGCCTCTACTTTATTTACGTGATTAAAATTTACCTACGTTAACGTGCGTAGGCAAATACGCGTCAATGGAAATCACCCTTTACAGACTTTACAGAAATCGCGCCGAAATCACCGTTCGTATAGCAGAAGCCCTCTCCGGTATGTTTCTTGTGCCTTCGTAAAAGCTATTGGGTATAGTGTGAAGTAAACATGACATAAGTCTTATGGATAAAACTGACACAAAACTGTAATGATTTGTGTGCAGATATAAGAAAATGTAAACGAAAGGAAACGAGAAAACTTGATCACGTGGTACAAATTGCCGTAAACGTGATCCTAGATCACTCCATTATTATAAATAAACAATATTATTTATGTGAAAAACAACTCTGAACGTACTCTTTGTTACATTTCTTTGCTGACACTGCACCACTACGACGTGAAATTGCCTCCTCTCGCGTTTCCTGGAGAACGCAAAAGAACGACGACGAGGTTTTCTTTCTTTTGTTTATCTTGAATGCGGTTTCTAATACTTCAACTTCAGGAAATTCGCCCAGACCTGACAAGTTAAAAGGGTTGGGAAAATCGCTGTGAATCCAGTTTGAAACTACGCGAAGACTTTCCATTAGCTATAATTTTCAGTGCCGTGTGTAAACTCCGAAATTATCGTTGTGTACATAAATACGTATTGACATACACTGTTCAGCCATTACGGCACCTGAAGGAGGATAATGAGATTTATATCCCAATATTAACATCTCCCCTTACAGATAACCCACCCAGCCCAAGCGAGGTTGGCCACACCACCGGGCTCTACGTCCCCTACTCTTTTCGAACAGTGGTGTGGGTTCTTTTACGTCCCTCAAGAACAAGATGGTGAAAGACAAAGTGCTGTGAGACGGGACCAACGGCTTTTCGTCGTTATCCGAGACGACTAGAAAGTCTAACCGTTTGCAGATGTCGTTACTAGGGCAGCACTTTCTTCTCAGTTCCTCGAGTGTTGGTCCGGCCGGGGTTTGAACCTGCGACCTCCCGCTCAGCAGACCAGCCTCTGCAACTGAGGTAAGATCCAACGACTCGACGGCAACGAGAGCGTCGCTTAAAAAGTGAATTTGTATTCCCTCAGTCTTAATAGCGATTATTCCTACCCACTTATTTTGTCAAATATTGGCCGATCCTCCTGGAGTTGAATTCCAAGGGACTATAACTAAGTTCAGAAAGAGAAATAAAATTTCGTCGTCGCTTGTTTACGTTCTCCATAAAACGTGAAATAAGGCATTTTCGCGTCGTAGTCGTGCAAAAACGACAAAGAAATGTACAAAAAACTGAAAAAAGTGTGATGCACGTGCATCACACTTTGACGTTGCTTATTGTTTATTTTGACGTCATTAGAGAGATTAAGATTCACGTTTACAGCATACGGCAAACGGCAAACGTTTTGACGAATTTTCTCGTTAAAAAAGGTGAACGATTCGGTCGCGTCATTGGATCAAATTCACGTTTGCCGTTTGGCGTAAACGGTTACTGGAAGCGACGAAAGGGTATGATCAACATGGTCACATGGGAGTAAGAACACAAGAGCTGACAAACATGTTCGATTGATATTTAATAATACTAAATTCGGTGTTAAAATCACTAACACACTAAAATAATTAAAAGAGACTTCTCGTATCTTGCTGACTGCAAGTGCGAACAGGAACAGTCGCTTGGAAGGCGAACTCACTACTGAATAGCTCCGAAAATTTGTCCTGTATCGCTTTTATTTCTAGTCTGGTAATTTTTTTTATTAAGTTTTCCATTTAACTGATGAAATGGACATTTCAACTGCTTTTCATTTGGGTGAGGCAATTAATCTACGACGCCACCTTTTTCAATCTCACTTAATTGCTAACTGCGGTATAAGGTGAAGGTTGTACTTAATGGTTATGTTACACAAGACGATTCCCAAGTCCAACGACGATTTTTAGCACAACACGGCGTTGAAATGTTGCGACACTGTTTTGAATGCTTGCAACATTGCAACGCTGTGTTGTGCTAAAAGCCGTCGTTGCGAATCGTCCCGTATAACATCACCTTAAGTCAAAGAGATTTTAGCTATGTATACTGACAAAAATATGTATTTTTTTCTGTCTAACTAAGTCTAGCTATTCGAATTTCCATTTGAAGTTCTGCAGTTTTGCTATTTACATGTCAACTTTTATCGCCCACAGTATAAACCCGCGAGTAAGAACCTGGTTTTTAAGAACCTGTAAGGCTCAAAGTTGTTAGTTGGGTCCCCTTTATACAAGAATCTGTTTAGCCTAAATTTTGTAACAGCTCCTTATTTTCTAAAATCTTTTTTTAACAAAACTTCTGTACGCTTAAGTAAATAAGATAAGTCAATATTCAGAATCCACTTCGGAGACCCAAGTTCCTTATCATTCCAAGTAAAATGTAATGGTATGCAGATTTTATAAAGGGAATGAGCTGAATACCACTAACAACTCTAAGCCAACATATAAATATTTTTGCTTCTGAAAATAAGAACCTATTATGAAACTATATAGCTTAAATTTGCGAGTAATACCATTTATATTAAAAACCTGTTTAGGCTAATTTGGCAAAATTCAGGTTCTTACTCGAGGGTTTTACAATATTTTACCACCTGGGAGCATACTAAAGTGACCTTTCAAGATTATCCATCTATCATCTGTGAGTGAAGGTAGCAGTAAACTTGCAACACTAGGTGTCCTTCGATAACTCACCACTATAGAAACGGGAGAAAGAAACTGGGGCGAGTTAACTTTCACAAGGACTTCTGGGATTGTTACTAAGGAAAGGGGAAAAGAATTGGCCAATAGCTGACCGCCGAGTCACCAGTAACGATCCCAGAAGCAATTGCGGGAGACATAAAGGCTCCAGTTTCCTTTTGGTTTCTTAAGTGGGGAACGCAAAAACTGCAATGATTTTGTTACGACATAGAGCAGTTTTCACTTGACTGTCGTAAAACCAAAACCAAAGTAAATACACTAGCCAACCAAAGGGCGTAGTAAAACCAAACCAATTCCTCAATTACTTTCGACAGTCAAGTGAAAACCGCTCTATAGCTTGTTATTGTACTTGGTCGATTGAAGGTAGGTTCAAGCCAGACAAGTATACCCTGCGCCAAGCTCTCAGATAGTATCGCCAGCGCTTAGTCGGCCCACGCACTCGTCTAAACCATTTGTATAGTCCTCTATACAGAACGTTTAGAGCGTCTGCGACGCAGGCGAAGATAGTAGGGACGTCACGCTCTCCTTCGCAGAGGCTCCCGCTGGGTATTCATAAAAAATAGCAGTAATCAAAAAAAAAAAACAAAAAAAAAAAAAAAAAAAAAAGGAAAGAAAGAAAGAAAAAGAAAGCGCGCATTGGCGCGCTTTCCATTTCCCCTCTCCTGAGGCCTCTGCAGAGGAGAGAGGGGACATCACCATATAAGAAGCACCACCTTTTTGCGCGTTTTTGCTTCATTGTTCACGATCTCTGCACATTACTATAAAAGGATGAAACAGGCTTAGACGAGTAGGACAAGGACATCCACGTCTTTGATATTTTTAGCGGAAAACGTCCAAGGTTTTCCTAAAGCGACCTTTTTTTTTCCAGCTAATTCGAAAGTCACTCTATTTGTTTTGCAATTGATCATGATCATTTACATATTTTCTTCTCTCAGCGGCATTACAGTTCGAAAAGAACTGCTCTTTTTCAGACTTCCTTCTCTGAGCGACTTCACTTTGGCAGTTCCAGGACTCCAAGAAGGTGAACGAGCCAAAGCCGGAGATGATCGGCGACTCGGGCTTGACAATCGGGATAGCTCGGAGATGATCGACATGTTGTCGTCGTCATCCTCCGGTTGGAATTGGAAGACGCTCGCAAGAGCAGACGTTCCCTGGAAACAAAGCATTTCTACTTGCTCCTGTAACGTGGAAGCGAGGTAAACTGCCCCTGAAGATACAGCTGGACCAAGAACACGCGGATTCCGAATTTCCAGAAATTTGTGTGCATAACGACTGCAAAAAATGAATTAGTCAACTAACTAAATGTGTAAAGAGGAAAGGTGAGAATAAAACGACAAACTTGAAACCAGCCACAACATAAGCATAAACAGATAACTTCATAATATTGTCTTCTGGTATCCATACTTTTGTCGTCGTCAAGAAAAACGTCTTTTCTACCCATGCCGCAATCGTTCGTTAGCGCTAACATTAGCTACTAGCGCAAAATATGTAAGTCCCTGCGCATGTGTAATCCACCTGATGCTCATTGCAAGTAAGGACAGGGATTAACAGACGGCATCTTGACGCTAAATTAAACATTTAACCCCTTCGGTTAAAAGGTTGGATAGCGCTATCCACCGGAAAAATCAGTATCCAGGGAGTATTATGTAGTGTAAATATTAATGTAGTTCGAGTATTTAGGGGACCAATTGCGGGGTTATCCACCTTTTGAACAACTGGGCCCTGAAGTACGCTTGATCGACATGAAGAGACTTAAAGCCGGCCAGATGTTCAATAGGCTATTTCCGAGTTCACCCACGCCTCTGTTTCAAAGCGAGGTTAAGCGCTAATCCACTGGTAGGTTTTGCACTTAGCCTCGTTTATAAAAGTGAGCGTTTTTGGAACTCGGAAATGGCGTATTCGCCCGAAAGTGTTCGACGGCCTCAAGTATAAATACGGTAATTCTTACCTAGGATTCTCTGCATTGCTGAGTGGTATTTCACAGACGTCAATCGAGTTAAAATGTGTGACAAAGAGGAAGGGTTCACTGTAGGCTAAAAGAAAGAAACAAAAATATATAAATATATATATATATTAAAATAGAATAAATTAAAAGTATAAACGTTCTGGCGCAGGATAGAACATATAAATACTCACCAAACGCAAGCGGAAGTCTGCTCCACATGAGAGGCTTTTGCCTGCTATGACGTCCAGCACTGTTTACAAACACTCCGAACTCTAAAAAAAGCACAAGAGAACGAGGGGTAGTTAGTCAGAATTAAAGCTGTGTCACGAAATTCATCTGCCACCAAATTCAGTGCATCATAAAAGCAACCGCTCAAATTGTGTGTAAGTATTGTCTTCAATTTGTCTTGAGAAGACTGTAATACCCAGGAGGAATAAACAACAATGGTTGTGCAAAATGTTGGGGGACAAAATTGGTGTATTACGGGAGATGTGCAAATGGTAAATTGGAAAAGTTATCGGGGAGGGGAGCGAAGAAGAGGATTTTTCAAAACGTTACCACCAAATAGACTTCCGCCTCTTCCGTCAAGCAGTTTTTATAAAATAACAACTAAGAGTGCAACCACTGTTTTCTTCCTCTTCTCCTTCTTTCTTTCTCCTCGCTCTATCTGGTGTGATTGTCGAGCGCAAAAAAACCTGCCTTTTGGTCCTTTTTCACTCAAATGGCTTCAAATTTCGTTAGAATCGTTTTAAAAAATCTACTAGATAAACATGAACGGAAAACTTAACTGAAATGACAAGGGAAATGTCAAAGAATAAAATTGATGCTGCTCGAAAATTCCCCACCTCCGCCATTGACCCTGTGAAGGCAACTTCCCAGGCCCTCTCAGTCAATGCATTTCGGTGACGTAGCGGAGACGTCGCTCTGCAACGTTTCAGAAAAGAATAGGCCGCGAGGAGTAACGTGGCCTAGGGACTAGGAAGGGTCCGTCTCTTTATGACGCAGGCTATCCTCAGATGCGTACAGGCATCGCTTTATCCTACGGGCTTACCATTAAAGCAAAGCAGAAATTCTTCACTGTTTGAGCCGCGGCTAGTGACATCCAGCACAGCAATAGGAAAGATGTTTAGTTGCGAGGCGCCAAACACGGCAAACGCAAGGGACGGGTCCTTAGAGTCCAGGAATTCTGCAAAAGAGAAAAGAAGTTTGGTCACACTATTTACTGATTAATTAGTTTTTGTTCAGTTGGTGAATCAATGCAAGTAATACACCAAAGAACGAAGAACAGGCCGAACTCGACACCAAAATTAAGGTTAAACAAAACCAGGCAGCAAACACAAATAAAAAAACTTTCAAAACAAACAGAAATTAAGCCAACCTTTTACAGTGTGTTGCTTGATGTCAAGGGTGTAGAACTTGCCAGTACCGTAGATCACGTGACTGTTATTGAAATGAATGCAATTGCAAGGCTCGCTGGTCTCAATCTCCTGCGAACGAATAGGCAAATATCTGCTGATGTCATTGTCATAGAAGCCGTGGGCGCAATTTTCACTCATTTGCAAGCAATATTGAAGGAAATATCAGCCATAAAAAACTGCGAAAATGCTGGGTGGCAAAAAACGAGCCATACATTCTCTGGAAAAATTTCGAGTTTTTAAAAGAGAATTTATCCGAAAAAATTCGGTTTATCGGGTTCAAATTCTTAGTTAACTGAAATTGTTATGCTCTTCCAATATTCAGAGGTTTTATTTTATCAGCTTCATCAGATAAGCATATGTTAATGAGGCAAAAAAATGGGACATGAACAAAAGTGAGCGAACATAACGCTTACCTTGCGAGTACAAAATGTTCCGATGCCAGCGTTGTACCGCAATAACAGAATACTGTTTGGAGTGGCTGCACAAATGTAATAATTACCCTCACACTGTAAAAGAAGAAACGTGCGTCACAATGTGGCTAGGTTCAAATCCTGGCGTCGACGCCATACGTGGGTTGAGTTTGTTGTTGGTTCTCTCCCTTGCTCCAAGAGGTTTTTCTCCGGGTACTCCGGTTTTCCCCTCTCCTCAAAAACCAACACTTCCAAATTCCCATTCGACCAGGAATCAGGTAGACGAAGAACCACTACGTGGAAGTGCTACCTTTAAACCGTCATTCGTTAATTCATTTGTTAAATTTGAGTTTTAACAACCCTTTACTATAAGACCCCATAGAGCTTACCCTCAGTGTAAAGCAAACAGTTTTGTGTTCCTCACAAACAACCATTTTTAATGCGATTTCAAATGGAAACTTTTTTATCTATGACGCTAGTGAATAAAAAGGTCGTATAAAATTTTCTACAAACCTGTCCGACAGCAAACAAATGGCAGTTAGTAATTTTCTCGATTGCTTGTGAAGCGAGAGGATTCAGTGGCACCACGGAGTTTGTCTGACGTGCCCGGCTCATGATCTGTTTAAGCTCCACACTGCATAACTGACGATCTTTACCTAAAAGACAAAACAAAACAAAAAAACAAACAAACAGTGAATCCATCGTTCACTGGTCAACATCTTCCTACTTTGTTTTTAGTACACGAATTAACAAATGAAGACGTAATCGTCACTTTGGCGTAAATAACCCTTAACTTGGTGTCACCAAAATTAATACGTACAGGAAATGTACGGCTTCTTTCAAAAATGGCAATCCACTTCCTGGTGGAATGGACTTTCAGTAGTCAATAAGAAATAACAGGTTAAAAAAAAAGGAGATGGGCTGAAAACCACTGAATCTTGAAATATTCGGGCCGTCGTTTTTAAACGCTTTTGGCTGCGCTATATGGACGAAATCTTTCAAGGTCAACGATAATGGTTTGCTCTAACTTAAGGTCGCAGGGGACACCTTGGGCTTATGCACGATGTCCAACGACTGATATCGACAGGTTTACGAGATGAGATATTCATAACTGCATAAAAGATGAGCGCATAATTTAAACAGTTCAAGTATATCCGGACCAAAAAAGCGTTTCAAAACAAGCTACATAGCAGTGTTTTTTACAACACTTTTTAAATTTACTCGCTTTTTTATCCTCACTGTTTTTGACCAACTAGTTGGATTTTACTAAGACAATTATTCATCTCACCCTCATGGCGTCTGCGTCGATTGACTCAGAGCCTATTCGGGCTCGAGGAATAATTGTTAAGTATTTTTTTGTTAGCTGGCGGCGGCGGGGGAGGGGGGCATATAAGTAAGGGGGGCACACAAGTATAGTACCTGCTATCATGATGAGGAGATTCAGATCACTGATGATATCAAGTTGAAAAGCTCTGTCTATTCCAGGCAGAGCACGAGGAGAGCTTCTTCCAGGTTTTTCAAGAGACATGGAATACAGGCCTTCTTCGGCTCCCAAAAGAACCAACTGAAAATACAAACCGTTGCTAGCTGATACAACATTTAAAGGAAGTAACATGGGGGTTGGGGGGGGGGAAGGGGTGTGGAGAGGGCGGTGTAAGGCAGGGGCACACTACTTATGATACGGACCCTCTTCATAAAATCTCGTGAACAATTATAGCTGAACATTACCGGACGGGTTGGTTAAGCCAGGCACTTTCTTCCTCGAAAATTAACACAAGAATGGGTTTTATCTGTGGTATTTAGAGACGATTACTGTCTAGCGTGTTCATGAATCTTCTTCTTTCTTACCTCGTTATTCAGCAGTTGTGTGCAATTGATGTCAAGGCGTTCTCCTTCCTCCAAATGTAGCAACACATTACCCATTAGTTTCTGTGAAACAAGCGGGGTAGATTAGCCATGGCAACGTCCGTCAGAGTTAAGGAAATGCCATGAAAAAAAAATGAGTCTTTACTTCGCTTCAAAAAGGAGGGGGAGGTTAATTATTCGTTGCGAAGTAAGGCAAGACGCTAGCACGTAGATATTTAGGGTATTACTCTTAGGTCGCGCAGCTATTTCGAGTTGAAAAACGAACAGAAAAACCAGTGTAAATACCGTTCCCTTTCAGCGGGAGGTGAAATTCAGTGGGAGATTACCTATTTCTACCTCACTGCCCTAAAAGAGCTTTGCTACAACCACATGAAAATGCACTTACACACCTTTTAAGGCCAAAAATGAAGCTTGTCAGACTTAACAACATTCATGCCCCTGTCAAAATTGCAAGGATTCCAAGATCGCATTCAACACTTGCAATGACTTTGACAAATTTGCTAGTATTTGTGAGAATTCTTCCTCTGGGACTGGTTCTACCAAAGCTTGCTGTGCTGCTGGCTGTTTCTAACAGGCCCCGAAAGTAACAAGTTGCTTTATGTCATGATCAGAAACCGTAATTTGGGTTTCCGTTTCATAGCATGCTGCATGTTCAATGAGCCAAACGTAAATGGGGAAAAAAATCAACCGCATCTGAACATCTTAATCAGCTTCACTGGGCGAAGACTTACGCAGAGGGGATGGGCAAGAAGGGGACTCAAGTCCCATTTGACCCCTCCCCTACCCGTTAACGCACACTGCGTGACATTGAATTGGACGTGGTCATTACCAGAGATTGTTACGTCAAACAGTCACACCAGGGATGTGCTGAGCAACGGGGCCGACCGGTTTTCGACCTCATCATAGAATGTCCAACTATTTGCAGATAAAAATGAAAGACAGCACATTCTACTCAGTTATTTCAAGACCCTTTTTTGGGTGTGGATCGCTCACAAAAGTTGACCGCCTAAAGGAACCGAAAGTCAAGCTTAAAAAAGGTAATGGGTAGAGATCCATTTCTATTATATAAACGCCAATGAAATACCAGGTTAGCTTTCGCGCGAAAACATGATATCTTTCCACGGGAAAAGTCATCGTTGCTATGGTTACATAATTAATCCCGCCTGCCCTTTCGCAGCAAATAAAGAAGATTACAGTGAAATGGTTTTGGTACATGTAGTTCATTGGTGATGATATAATAAATAGAAAATTACATGGCCGTTTGGAGATACGAAATTGTCAAAGAGAAATTTCTTATCTCCGCGTGGCTATAAAATATCCTCTACATACCTGATCATCGCCTTCATCCTTTTTCTTCTTAATTTCATCCAGCACAAACTCAAGAGAGGTAACCCATTTCTGTTTGACGGGGAATGAGGGGGCCAGTAAGGTAAAGATTCTGTACAGGCCAGCATCTCTGCCGTGACTCTACCCTCAGTATATACGGCAGATCCGAGGGGGCGGTACCCATCAACTCAGATGACATGACAGCAGAATGAACAGTCACATGACCGTCTTTACCGCACAAATGCAGCACTTCAGATGGAGAGGATTTTTCTGGAATTAAACAGTTAACGATGACGAGAAGGTAAGTCAGCTCGATAATTATTTTCAACTAGTTATCCATGCAAAGGAGAGAAAAGTTGACTCACCTCCCATATTTTCTTTGTCGTACAGTTGCAGCACTTGATCATCGAGAACAACCCATTTTTTCTCCCATCCATGCTTTACTGAACCGCAGCTACAACACAAATATCATGTTTAAAAATGCAGTTTCGCGTTTCGTTTTTTTAGTGCCATTTGCTGACAACCAGAATTTAATCATATCCAGGGGTGTAGCCAGGATTTTTCCAGAGGTACGCAAAAGCATTTACTACCTCAGACTTTCTTTTACAAAAAAAAGTGATTTTTTTTACGGCCTTTTGGACATTGTTTTTGATTGACAGAGTCACGCTACGTCGACGTAATCATTCTCTACGTCCATCTACTGCGAATACAGGCTAAGGGGAAGACAATGCGTTTACGCTTTATACAATCCAACTTGCTATTTTCGCCCTTTTCCCGTCTTTTCTCTTAATATATCAAATAAGATTTTTGAGCCACCAATGAATCACATCGGTTCTCCGGATAACGACAGTTCGGTGTTTGAAAAAATATATATTTAAAAGAAAGGCACGGATGTGCGCACCGTACGTTTGGTGGCTACGCCCCTGATAACCTTTACAATTTATTCCGCAGGAAAGCCCCCGACTGACGGGGTTGGCTAGGGCGAGTGGGTGGTGTGACTGATGTCGGGAGAAAGTAGGCAGACTATCTTTATTCCTTCTGATGGTGCCTATTCAAGGGCAACATTATGAACCTATCACTTTGTCTGCCGAGCCCGTGTGATAAATTGACTACAATGCGAGACATTCTGAACTAGAAACCAAGCAAGAGGAGTCATACCGTGGAACTCTGAGCCACCCCTCTCTCCTGCCTCCTAGTTTAGTGGTGCTCTGTGAGTTAGGTATCAGACTGTTTTCGTCGTTCTTCTGTTCCTGAAGAGTCTCGGTGAAGTGTTCCACCAACTGGGTTGGAAGGCCACATGTATGCGGCACATTTGGTGAACATTTTACATGACATACTAGGCCACACTCTGCGACAACAAAAGAAAAGTTACCGTATTCACTCGAATTAGCGCCGCTTATTAATTTTCGCGCCTTAAATGCGGCGCTTATTGGAATAAATACTGTATACTCTTGATAGGTTTTCGAGTCAATGCAATAATTATTATTCATAGAGCACTGGCTTTGTACGCTTTTGATCTTAAAACTTCCATAATATAACTTGATCGAGTCCTCCATGATCTCTGTTAGTGTTGTGTTCAGTAGCATTTTCTCTGTTCGAGTTTTTAACATCTATTTAACAACATAACAATCGGTAGAAATTATTTTTTGATACTGAGAATTCCTGGTGATCTCCTGTATACCACATCGCAAAGTAAAAAAAAAATTATTTCCACTGTACATTAAAATTCAAGAGCATTCCAATAATTTCCCATGTGTTCTAGTGTATCATAAAATCTACCAAAAAAACGTGAAAAATCACCATGATTAAAGTTATTTCTTAAACACCAGGTTAATTGTCTCTTCTTGATAACATTAAACATTCTCAAGGCATACAATACTAGTTTAATAAAGTATCATAAATGATAATCATACCAGCGCAGCGAGATGAAGGCCGCACAAAATGCAACGTATCCAAACAAATGGCACACTTGGTGGCGCGCATATTCAAAGCGTTCACAAACCTAAAGGAAGAAACAAAGTTTGGTTTGTCTTCTTTCTGACCTCTTAGTTTTATACATCATGCTGTTTCCAGCCGGCGGACTTTTCGTTACGAAAAGTGGCCCCACTCTATAGCCTGCGTCGCAGACGTAATCTAACCCCGGTTAAGGTGATGTTACACTAGGACAATCGCAACGACGATTTTTATTGCAACACAGCGTTGCAACATTGTTTCGAATAGTTGCAACATTGTTCCAACATTACAACACTGTGTTGCGCTAAAAATCGTCATTTCGAATCGTCCGGTGTAACATAACCTTTAGTAAAGTCTGCGGAGCAGCGCCGACATCCTTGTTCTGGGCAACGCCCCAATGGCTCAACGAATTACCGGAAAAAAGGGTCGAATTTCCTTTTAACCTGATTGGCAAATTGACAATTGCTTCTTTAACAGGCCAATCATGGCTCGTGCTCAAATCCTGGTAAACAGATGGGTGCCTAGAACAAGGATTTCGGCGCTCTTTCGCAGACAGACTCAAGCAGAAGCTTAGTTTCGACTTTGGCGCAGGCTACACTCTTAGTGATAGGTCACTCAAGCTTAATTGGACTATATCACGCTTTTAGCTGTCTTTTCACAAAGCTAAAACGTCTCTTCGCAGCAATTGAATTTTGCAAATTGCCAATTATACCTTGGCTTATATTTGAGCCAAATCAGCATTGTCCACATCGACGTTCTTAGATTAGTTTTCCTCTTTCGTTCAAACGCGAAAGCCATTAAAACAAGAAAGATCTTATAAACTGTTTATTCTTGATAAACGTCATTTTCTACAGAAGGGAAGCATTCATTACGAAAGGGGTTGAACAACCTCTAGATTTAAATGGTGAGTGTTACCTATGAGGGATGTTGTGATGCATTCTTTCTTTGGGCCTACGTGCTGTACCACGATCAGCCTGAGAAGCATTTTTAGGATTCTTGGACTGGGTCTGGGCGATCAGCGGACTTTGTTGGTTGCTTGGTGACTGCTGAATTGCTGATAGCACCGCGTAAGACTGGGTTGGTTTGGGAGTTGCACAGCCGGCATTTTGATATTGCGATTTCCAATGAGCAGCTAAATAATAAAAGAAAACAGCAAGATTTATTCATCTCCTTTGAGCTATGCATGCCTTATTGTTTTAATACTCAGTGAAAAAACAGTCTTTAATCAAAACGTCCCATAACTCGTTTCAATAAATCTGTCGTCAGTTTAGGTCAGTTCTCCGTTCCAATTTTCAGCAAGAATAAGTTCTTTTTGTGATAGCCTGAGAAAACAGCCGACATTTAGCGACGCAACCACTGGTTTCCCCTCTAAATGACGACTGGGAATGAGCCCAGAAATTCTGTATTGATGACAAGTCACTACCCAGAACTGGGTAGTGCTTCTGATTGGTTAAAGCAAATTTCCCGCGCGGAAAAACCAATCAGAAGAACTACCCAGATCTGGGTAGTGAAGCGTCATCAGTATAGAATTTCTGCGCTCGTTTCTCAGACGTCATTTCGCGGAGAAACAAGTGGTGGCGTCGCAAAAAGTCGGCTGCTTTCTCAGGTTATGTTTGTGAGACCACCAAAAAGCTGCGATAGCTGAAGAATCGTCGGCCTTTCGCGACTCCCTAGATCATCCACATTGAAATACCTTCCATTTTTGCAGTCTGTATTTCCTGTCGCATCCTGTTGACCTCAGTTTGTAGCTTCATACTGGATGCTCGTTCTTTCTCCAGCGCCTGTTGTAAATCTCTCCACTGCTGTGGAACAACGTTGATGCTGTTTTCTGGTTTCTTGCGCCTGTTTTCTAACAAAACAGGTAACTTTCAAACATTGAACGCCATGAAAATTTTCCTTTGAGTTGTTATTCCACCGCCGATCAGGGCTGATTAAAAATATAAGTTGGCCTGCGAATAACAGAAAACGTAACAATGGTTAAACAAAATTTTAGTTTTTGAACGTTAAACCCTTTTCCTATAGTTGGCAAAAATCTTGTTGTTGCAGACGTTCTGTGAGGGGCGCAAAAAATTGCAGACGCTGTAGGGCGCTAGCTTTTTGTGAACGATTTCCGTGGTGTTTAAGCTTATAAGAACATCTCTCGCTCTTATAAATCCTCAACTGCTCTATACAAGAGAGCACGAACACTCAGAAAAGCTTAACTGAACTAGGGGACGTAGACCCCGGTGGTGTGGCCAACCTTTCCTGGGCTGGATGGGTTATTTGTAAGGAGATATCTTAATATAGGGATAACCTCATGATCCGCGTTCAGGTGTCGTGATGGCTACCTGTAAACAGTCTGTGCACCGTAAATGACCTAATAGACGCCAATTTGCAAACGAATAAACGCCTCTGATATAATAAACACCCCCTCTCAATTTTAACAGCTTTGAGCTGTTAAAATTGTATTAGGCGCCCTTCTCCAATACACGCCCCCTATGAGAATTACTCCAAAATATTAGGAATTTTAGCAAAAAGGAGCAAAATCATTAACAAGGCTTTTCGTATTTCATCTTGTTCAACGTCATGTTCAAAGTAAGATAGACTAGTGTTTGCAACACAACAACCCTGAGCGAAGATTCTGACATCGATGTTGGGATTTGAAAAAGCGATTTGGATCTCTAGCCTACCTAGACCTATCAATTGATGTGGAGGATATTCCGCTATTTTTAAACTCTCTTGATATTTTCGCCGAAAGCATATTGGTTTTGTCGAGCTTGTTACAGTTATGAGAATAAACGCCTCTCTCTATCTATCTTCTATCTATCACTTGGACGCCTAAAATTAAATAGACGCCCGGGGCGTTTCTTTGGTCATTTACGGTATTTATGTAAACGGTTTTTCTTGCTTTGACGCGCACTGACAAGTAACCAAAATTCAAGGGAATAATGTCACAAGTGTTTGGTATTACTTTAAAACCCTAAAAACCTGTTCAATTGAAATTAAAGGAAACTCGGAAATAATGGTTCAGTTCTATTTTACTTTCAAATTACTCTTCTGCTGCACCTTAACTATAAGTGTTATCCCTGGCTTTCGATGGGCAGGATGGACAGGGATTACAGCTTATTTTTTCAATTAAACGTGCTACGTTGTCAAAAAAAGGGCCCAAAACCGTTTCCCTGTAATAGAATCAGTGAGTCGATATCTTTATATATTTTTTTAGACTTCCAAGAATGACAAAGATGTCTCAGTATACTTAGTTGTAATTGAGCTGAGATTTAACCGAAACTGAGCAACTTACAATGACACTATCCCCCCCCCCTCACTTTAGGTACATTTAGAAAAGTCCACACCTTTTTCTTTTTAGGCGCCTGTCCTTCAGCTTTACACTGCAGAAAGTCAATGAGCTTAGTCTGCTGTGAATTGGTAGCCTCCAGTTTAAGCCTCTCTTCTGCGTGGGACGCCTCCATGAGATCCAATTGCTCAGCCAGCGAAGCGCGTTCACACGTTAATTCTTCACATTTTTCCATAGCTGCTTCAATATTCTGGTTTAACTCAAAGTTACTGGCCTTCAGTTTGGAGGTGTGATTGTTTAGTCGCTCGATCTCGATTTGCAGCTTGTTGTTTTCTTCAGTTCCAAGTTGAAGTTTGCGTTCCATGGATTTGACCTCCAGTTGTGCCATGCCACATTTTTTCTCAGTCTCGCTGAGCTGAAGAGGTCAAGGATAAATTAACAATTATTCTAGATTTTGTTGTAAAACAGGCCTTACATCTTCTCTTAACTTTTTGCTGGAAATGATCTATCATACTATCTACCAAAAAAGGAAATAAATGACGTAGGTTTCCACTCATAATCAGGTGACGCAGCTTTAATATGCATGGCTTCGATTCTCAAAGGAGCGAGCAGGACAAATAAGAAGCTGTTCTACTGGCCATTTTGAGGCTGTGCTTCAGATTGCGTCGTTGCTGTCTCGAATAGCACGATGGGACTTTTATAGATCATTATCTATTTTTATTTGCTATTACGAGGTTTTGCGAGAAACCAGAGAGAAACTGAGTCTTAACGTCACATAAAGCAATTCAACAAAACGGCGCAGTCTGAAGCACAACTTCGAAATGGCCAAACACATCACTACACAAGTAGAAGCAACGAGTGGTCTGCAGTAAACTAGACTGCCAACAGTCTTTTTCTGCTTCAGATTTAGTGAGGGGAGTGCACGCGTGTTCGAGCGTGGAGCGGTGAGGCCGCTCTTCGGTCACGCGCGTGAGCAAATTTGTCTCTCCGCACATTTCGCTCAACGGGCTAGTAAGAAAAAAAATAGAGACTGTTCGTAGTCTCCGCCTGAATCAAAAATGCGTGCAGTCTCTGCAACGAGACAGACTTTGTGAATCCAGTAGCTGTATCTAAACTGCAGTCGATTTTAAAAGATGAAAGAGATAAGCGTGCTTACCGCTTCTGTCAGCTCCTCGGTCCGATCTCTTTGTCTTTCCAGTTGCGCATTCATCTCATCCACTTCCTTGATGTGAGTGTGTTGTACTTCTTCCAAAGCCTCTTGTAGTTTACTCACTTTCTCCTCAGCGCTGGACCTGGAAAGAAAGTTTAAAAAAGTGTTACCTATAATGAAAAAAAAAGTTCGAATTTATCCTTTTCCTGGGAAAGGATTTATGACTACCAAGCTTAAGTTTTATGACTACTTATTGCTTCTTAAAAAGATGAATATATGAACTTCATAATTGGACCGCCGGATGAAGAAATAAATAAAGTGGAACCCCTTTTATAGTAAACGGTCACCGATGGGTTATAAAAATTTGGCCATATTAACGGAGTGACCGTATAACCGTGACAGGGTCAAATTTAATGACTTAAGCTGGCCGGAATGACAAATGCAACATACGTCGCAATCGCACTTCTTGAACAACTGTCCTCTTTAATAAACAACCGGAATGTAGATATCGCGTACAGTAATTGCAAAAACTACCCGGTATCTAAAACTTTACTTTAGTACATAAAACACTTTTAAAAATCGGCCACTAAACCGCCACAAATGCATTTTAAGTGTACTGTGGTCTAACAGCAATACAAGAACATGTTTAGCTTGCTAGGTCAGTGAAATTGACGTATTACAGGCATTTCAATTTTCTAAATTTTGAACGAGTGGCCGTATTAATGGGGTGAAATTACAAAAGATTCTACTGTTTCGGATTTATAACTGTAGCCGTTGGCCATATTAACCGGTGACCGCATTAACGAGGGTTTCTATAGGAAAATGTATGACCGTTGTGCTGGGCCAAAATAAGTGGCCGTACTTCCGAGGTGGCCGTAAGGCGGGGTTCCAATGGGCAGAGAAGATAACAACAATTAAATTTGCAACTCATTCACTTTCGAAAAGGAAGCCTGTATAAATTCAGGCTTGCCGAGATTCGGGCCCTGAGCTCTGCGACACCGGTGCAGCGCTCTAACTTTATTGTGTTGGCTAAGAATGGCCCCGTGAATCGGCCACGGAAAAGGCAAGTGCCAACAAAATACATAAGGAGCCTAGAAAAAGATCTAAACAAAGGATAACTCTTACTGAGACAGCTACTTTAAAGCAGTTAATGGGCCTGAATAATTTCAAAAAACCACTATTTTCGATCTTACCGTGTCATTTTTTCTTGTTCAAGCAAGCGTTGAGTTTCCAGGAGTTGAAAGTCACTCTTTTCTCTTTTCTGCTCCAGCTCTTTCCTAAAATATTTACATGTAAAAGTTAGTTTCCGCTTTGGGTCCGGATTCGCAAAACAATTCAGCAAAACATGTTCGCATAGCACACCTAGCCTGCAGAAGTTTTTTCGTTTGCGTTCGCCTAAAAAACGCAAAAATATCGCATGTTTCAATGCAGCAAGCCAAAAATACACCCTGTTTTACAATTACCCTGTTTAATGCAACCACCTCGTCTTCTGGAACCATCAACATTTGGCTTACATCAAGACAAACTCCGTGAATATTCATTGTGGTAACCTACATACTCCAAAAGGGAAAGGGTACAACTTAACTCCCAGGGTTCTCTCCTACTCAACCCGCGGAGCGAGAGAAGGGAAAAACATGGGAGCAAGGTTGGGGCCGGGTAAATCGCCCGCCTACGGTTTTTTCTCTAGGTCTTCCAAAGCAAAAAAGAACCACGGACTAAGGCGGACTTTTAAAGTTAATTTTAAAAATGACTGAGATTCAGAAGTATCTGTCATGTAAGAAGGCTAATTCAGTCTGTTTAAGGCCCGACATTACCTTGTTATGTTCCATTGGAGCTGTTTCTCTTCGAAATCTTCATTTATAATCTCTAGCTCCTCTACTTGGTTCTCCAGCATACTGCAGGTGGATTTCAACATTGTGTTGGTCTGTCGACAGATGATAAATACATTGTTTTGACAACACCTAGACCCTGTTCGCACTAAGAAAGCAAAAAATTGTTTGTTTTGCAAAAAAAATCTGTCAAAAGGAAGCCATTTCTAGTGCGAACGATTTTTTCGCCGACCAAAATTTTCTCAACTGTCACCAAAGTTCAAAGAAGCCGTCGAGAAGATTTAGAGACCTAGACTGTTTTATCAGGCGACAAACTCCTTTGTTCCTTGACAGCTATCCTTTGTTGGGTTATCTTGTTTAGCGAACATGACCAATTTAAGTTCCCTTAGTTGACGTTTCTAGTTAGACGAAAAATTTCGCGAGTCTCAGATGCAAGCATAAGGATGCAAAATCAAAACATTGGTGGGTACAAAATTCAAATTTAAAGAGAACGCAAAATTCTATTTACTGTCGAAGCCGGACAGGGCCTTACAAAATAGAACACACGGAAAACCGAGGAGAAAAATGTATTCCTTCTGTCTCATTTTTTGGACTTTACTTGGTTATCTGATATCCAGATTAAGAAGGGACAAGTCGAATCAAAATGTACTGGAATGGCGGGAGATGCTTAGCCTCGAGAAAACAGGCAACTATTCGAGACGCCACTACTCGCCACCCGCGAAATGACGTCGGGAATACGAGCGAAGAAATTCTATACTAATGACACGATACTAACAAGATCTGGGTAGTGACACGTCATCAGTATGGTATTTCTGCGCTCGTTTCTCAGACATCATTTCGAGGAGAAACAAGTGGTGGCGTCGCTAAATGTCGGCTGTTTGTCAGGCTTGGGGAAGGTGTGCTAAATTTTTGTACTCACAAGTTCCATGCCTTCTGCGGCCCTCTTCTTTTCTTTCAGATCATCTTCGAGTTTCTCGTTCGCCATTTTTAAATCGCCGTTTTCTTCAGTAAGCTCTTCTACTTTCGATTCCAGTCCCTAAAAGGGTCGAGAAAAAATATGAGAATGTCTAGTCGGGGCAAAAAAAAAATGGAAATGCAAAGTAACTTTTCCTGTTATTTAACTGTTTGCCCAGACACATTACAGGTGGTAATAGGATCACGGGTTAGTTGCATATAAACAAAAGTCAGACTTGTTTGTTAACTTCTGGCGTTAAAATTAGAAGCTTGACTGCGCTGAACGTCAAACGTCAGATTTTAGTTGCAACTGTTTCCCGTTCTATTGGGCTCAAAGGAACTACACTTCGGATAATCCGTATTTGTAATATTGCAAAATCTCTCTGCTGACAAAAAGACGAGATCCAACGACAAGTTGCAAATTCAAGAGAGAATATAAATATAGCTTTTAGCCTGTTCTACAACAGACTACATTGTAAGAATACTTCTGATGAGTTATCATATTGTTTCTTCGTTACAGAAGTTATGATGAAAAGATTAACGGCAAAACACGACAAACCTTATTTTGTGAAACCAGTTCGTTGCAACGATTCGACATTTCACTGAATTGAACGTGGATTTCTTGAACGACCTGAGAAAAGAAACAAACACGAAAACGATGGCAACTGCTTAGTCATTTACAACTGAAACTTTCACCATGAACAAGGAAAACAAGCGACTACTGTTGTTGCTCGCAAGTGGTGGGAGGCTCTATTCATTCGCATAACTTCTGATGCTGATAACAGCCGCAAGCAGAAACTGCTGATATGTGCAGGGACTATGAACCTTCAGCCTAATCAGTATTTTAAACCAGAGACGTTTAATTCGTCTAGAACTGTTTGACGTCAAAGTCGACTGGTGTAAAAACGACACGCATAAAAGTAGACGATAACAGTGCAAAAAAAAGTTTTACTAAAAAAAAAAAAAACCCTCAACACTAACTCTTCCCAGTCGTTTCTGGACAGGTTGGGCATAAGTGCATCCCAGTTTACGTCGTCCTCTTTTTACAAGACGCATTTAACGTCTGAAACGTTAAAGTCGCCTGTTAAGTGTGTCTCAACGAACTTATGTCATCAGACGTTAAATGCATCTGTCTTATTTTCCGTTTTTATACGAGACGCTAAAGTCGTCTTAAGAAGACTGACGTCTCCAGCGTAAAAACGGCCATTGCCACTTTGTACATATAAATGAAGGAATGTTTACCTCGGAACGATTTTCTTGCATGTTTCTTGTGATCTCATCTTGCCTGGCAGACGCCTGGTATCAACATAAAACAAATCAGCTAACATCAAATCTATGACTTAAAAGAGAATGTGAACTCACCTTCAATTCCAACTCAAATTCTCTAGTGTCAATGTCATTCTACAAAATAGAAAATAGTAAAGTTACCATGAGGAGACAATAATACAATAATGAAAGATTTAAAAAACTGTGCGGTGTCACTTACCTCGAGTTTAAGGATGGTCTCTTCCAGCGCCTTTTTAGTACTTTTCAGAGAAGAACACTCATTGGTGACCTGAAGGAAGAAATTAAGGAGGTCAGTGATAAACAAGTCGTTTGGGATAAACTTGTTAAGTCACGATTGCTCTAGTCACCGTAAGGAAACAAGTCACAGGTATGTGCATACAGTATATCAAAGGGAAAAAAATGAAGAAGAAAGATGCCACCGTAACAATACGCCTGGTCAACTTGACAAGAAGTGATCAAGTCTTAGGGGTTGAAGACGACTATCATTGATCGGCTTCCCACGGTACGTGAAAAGACTGCCAAGCACACTGCCATTAAATACTCTTGGTTCAATGACATGATGGTAACAGGGCAAGTATTTTCACGACTTCAACACTTGTTAAGGTCACAAAATTGTCTCAACCCTTCAAAGTTAAATGATCTTAATTGCTAAGATAAAAATGAAATATGAGACGCAAGATCAGCGATGAAAACTCTTGTGGACATCGTTTGTTGTTTTGTTTTTCTTTGTTTCCTTTCTTTTTGCGCCCAATAATTTTTATTTTTTCCACTTTAAACATTGTTTCAGTATCGTCACAATTTTTTTCTGTTTTTAAAATATTGAACCTGTTGACTTTGCTGAAACAAGAGGGAGCGCAGTGACAAGTCGTTCCTTTTAGTGGCGATAAACACGTGAGAAAAGCCCATTTTTGTTCTAATTGCACTGTGCGTATTTCTTTTAATTTCTGGAATTTTCTACTCACAAAAAAGGATAAGAAACCCTAAAGCTTCGAGAATTAAAGCGAATAATTGTCAATTGTAGCGAATGACCAGTCTGTTAGCTAAAGATAATTTAAGGCGAAAACTTACCTCTGTTAGTTGTGTGTTGAGGTCTTCGACTTTTTTCTCCATATCCTTTGAAATCTAGTTGATCAAATAATACTCTCTGTTAGCCATAAGCAAGTAACTCATCTTGAAAACACAGCTTGGAAATAAATAAAATGAGCCTAAGGACATGATCGCTGGTCATATACCTGTTTCACTTTGCTCTCAGCATCTTCTAACTGTTTCTCAAAACAAGCGTTTTTCTGTTGCTGTATCTTGAGGCCGCTCTCCAGCCCAGTCATTTTTCGAGTCATAACTTCTTTTTCCTCGCTCAATTTCTTCAGTTCTGCTTGGTTGACAGCTCTAATAGACAAATCAGCATTTGGCGCTATAAAAAGACTGAAAAGCTGACGCGTCGAGTGCTAGCCTTTGGTCAAAACGACTCAGGGGAAAGTGGGCTGTATGCGGTTTACATGTCGAACAATGGAGCAAAGTTATTGCGCTATTGGTGGGAACATGCTAACTAAAATAACAAGAATAAATCAAGGAGTTTCCTCTTCTAATAATGCCAACAATGTTTTGGATCGAGACCCACCAACCATGAGCGACGTTCGTGAAACACCAGTGACTAACAACCACTGTGGTACAAACAGTTCAACTCAGTAAATCGACACTACCGCCTAATGAAGACCTGCAGAACGCGGCCGAAACGTCGCAATCAGTATCTAAGTGACTGTCGCAAGACAAACGATAGACGAAACAACCACGATGAAAAATATCTTTCATGACAAGAATAAATCAGATGAGTGAAAGGCGACCGCGTCCTCTGATTCCGTGGAAATTTAAGGTACCGATTTGAAAGACAAATAGCCTTAGAAAACTGCGGCAATTTACACCCTGCTCCTTTTGCTTCCGAAAAAAAAGTGAAAAGTTTCTTACGATTTGTTACTAGCGTCATAATCTGAATCTGAACTTCTTCTGCTAAGGTCAACGTTTTCTTTCAGCATTTCTTCTAGCGTACGACATCTTCCCGTCAAGGAGTCGATTTTCTATAAGAGATAAAACAGAGATCGTCGAAATCAGTTTTACGGACAGACTGTTACTCTAGTAGTCTACTTACATAGAAAGCCTTAATCCTTACACATATACGATGAAAGACCTGCACACCCTCGTTCCTAGTCAAGTCAACCTTGAAATCAATTTTAACTCAAACCCTGTGAAAGCCTTAAACCCTTTGGTTTTAGCCTTCGTGGCAGGCGTTCGAAAGGGAAGGGGAATAGGAGACGCAGTGGCGGATCTATGGGAGGGGCCGGGGGACGCGCCCACCCCTTATTTTAGATCAAACAGAGGCCCATCACCATTCTTTCACTTACCTGATCTCTGGCGGTTATTAGTTTTCTTGCTTCCTCTAGTTCACTCTCTAGTCTGCTGTTTGTGTTATCCAACTGTCGTTTGTAGCGTGATAATCTGTTCACTTCTTTCTCAGCTTCCTGGTAACACAAATTTATCGCAGAAATTACGTTACCTTTCGTCCACATGTGATGTACGGAAGCGAAGATCAGTGCACGAACAGTCTCAAGAGTGAACATCAGTCGGAAGAAAAAAACACAATTTCCTTCGACCTTCTCAGCTGTACACTTCTTTATAGTGAATACAGATTGCACAAAATTGCACTTTGATTTACTGTTTTGGCAAAACGCAGAAAAGAATTCAACAAGTGTCTCCTTTTCAATTCGTTACGAATATATAAGGCCCGGTTCAGACGCCGTACTTTTCATGAGCCGAACCTAATACATTGAATTAAGTACATGAAAAGTTCGGCGTCTGAATCAATTAGGAACGCCTGTTTCAATTTGGAACGGCTCAGCCGTTCTTTTTCCGGAATTTCTTTGGATCGACTTTGGAACGCCTTTGATTCAGACGCCGAACTTTTCATGTAAACCAAATGCAGAAATTCTTATAACGTATTTTGTAAAAGAAAATTTTTCGTGATGGAATTAAATCGGCGTCTGAATCTTTTTAAATAATTTGGGTCGGTCTTAATTCGAATTAGGTTCGGCTCATGAAAAGTTCGGCGTCTGAACCGGGCCTAACTTGCCCGATTCATTCAAATTCCGGTTCTTGGGCATGGACGTTCTTCAAAGGCGTGTAAAGAACGTGTTAATAAGTATTTTACGCTGAAAAAGTGGGGGGAAATTGGTGTTTTGTACACGAAACCCCGCCTAAATTTTAGAGAGGGCAAGTGCGTTAGATCCTGGACATATCATCCCCAAGGAAGAGAAGCCACGGACAGAAGGAAATGAGGATATCTGCATTATTAGCAATTCGCTGTCAAGTACTATTGGGGAGTACTTTACCTGCAGTTTTTCTTCTTGAGCTTGTCTGTTTGCCACATCTTTCTCAAGCTTCTTTTGGGTTCTTTGGGACTGAAACAACTGGTCCTCGAGATCCTACACAAACACAACATAATATAAATAGTCTACTTACTTTATTCAAGTGTCGATGTGTTTAGGTTATACATTCAAGCTAATTGTGGACATCGAGGGAAAAGAAAATAATTAACAAGTCTTCAAAACTAAATGAATAATCATGGAAGACATGATAAAATGAGATAGTAAATAAAATGATAATGCTAAATACAATAGAAATTTAAAATTGATAAAAACTAGGAATTTAACAACCAATGGAGTCAAAGCTTGACTAAAAAGCACAGCGGAATTACAATGTTGGCATTTCTAAGATCTAAAAAAGATAGAAACTTAAGAAAAAAGTAAAAGAAAAGAACGAAAGAAAAATTGAAACTTAAGAAATGGTGTTAACTCTTCATGTTGTATTTGCTGGCAAACCTAGAACTAAATTAAAATCAAACACTAATTGTTCACACTAATTTAAAAGTTTCGTTTAGTTCGTATTGCAGGTTACAAAAAAAGTTCCTACTGTGCATGAAGTTACTTGGAAGAAGTTTGCAAGCGGCAAACTCGCGATATACGATCGATCCATTCGAGGAAGCGACTCACTGCTTACCATGATTTTACTTTGCAGCTGCCTCACTTCTGCAGATTTTTCTCTGTAACGCTCTCGCAGACTGTTATCTCCTTCTTCTACATGAGGTCTGTTACACGACTGAAAATAAACGAAATTAACAGAAATTTTCATCTTTCTGTTTGGATTTCTCTCTTAAAAACGTTTTTCATTCCACTCTAAAGTTTTATTTTCTTAATGTGGCCGGGAACAAGGCTAAACATTTCACAGTACAACCCAGGGCTGCACGTAAGCTTATAAGCAACAAGCTTAGGGAAAGACTCCCTGGGCGGAGACATACTAAATGAAGACAAAAGAGAGCCCGGTCTTAGCGATTGGTTTGTAAGAAAAAGCATACAAAGTTTCCTTACTCTCCCCTCCCATTCCACTTTTTTTCCTGCACTAAACAGCGGGGTTAACTACAAAGGTAATAAACTCATGTGGTATTGCGCACTATTGATAAAAAGTCGAACCCAAACTCAAACTCATGCGCTATCGGACTAAAGATGAAGCTTAACTCATACTGACTATTCTATTCTATACTATACTATACCCATTACCCTATACGTCTTTCTAATCTGTTTACCATTATTTTATTGAATAACTCCTGAGCTATTTCTTCCCTGTTTCTAATTCCTATCAATACACTGTCTGATCTTCTGGTGAGTGAAAAGGGCTAATGGTAGAAAACAAAGACGACAAAAGTTCAGCGTTTCTCTGCTCAAAATCAAAATTAAAATTCTTCTTGTGTTATCTTTGCTAATTCCAGCAAAATAAAACACATTACTCGCTAGGACCGGCTAATTTGAGGTGCGCGTGAGACTTAGTTGGTCTTGTGTCGAACTGCATTGTGGAATTGTTTCGGGGCATTATTTCGACCCAGTTCCTGCACAACCTCGAAACAGCCAATAATAGAAGCGATAACGTCCTCAAAAATGTTCCCATAGTGCAATTCGATACAGCACCGACCCAGTCTAACGCGAACTATCAAACTAAAGGAAAAACCGTTGCACCGATTCAAGACCTTGCGTAGACATCGAACTTGAGTCAAGAACGCACTTGTCTCAGCCACATTTCATTTGATAACAAATTTAGTGACAAAAGGTTCGCACAAATCGCTAAATAAGCCTTCGCACTAGAACAACAAACATGTATAGGGACTTTTTTTATGTTTCAGTTTGTTCTTCTGTGCTACTAAATATTAGGTAGCTGTAGAATATTCTGTCTCAAGATCGCGTAAATCAATCAGATAATCAAATTAAGGAAAATCTCACCTTTTCATTTCTATCTGTTGCAATTGTTGGCTGGACTGATTTCTGAAAGGCAATATATATATGAACTAATGAGCATCTTGTTGGAAGCACGAAAATTGGTTCAACCAGCTGTGTTGATAATTGATAAGACATTGTACACAGTTGGCCTTCACAGAAAGATTCAAAAGCTGACATGATAAGCACAAGACGCAGTGTTTGATCCGATATCGAGTCACCGAGGGGAAGGTTGAGAAAAACCACGCGCAGCCCAGGCTCCGGTTGTTCAAACGTTGTATAGCCCTATCCACCGGATAAATCACTGTCGAGCGGATAGCTTAATCGGTTTACCTAATACTTATCCGCTGGATAGTGATTTATCCGGTGGGTAGCGCTATCCAACGTTTGAAGAACAAGGGCCAGATCGTTTTAGGACGACTTCGAGATATTCGGATTTAACACTGTCAGTGTTGAATATCTGATATAGCTACTCAAGTGATCAATAATCCCTCTAAGATTTGACATTTAAATATGATTGCGATTTTTGTGCAGGACTTTTGTCATATGAACCTGGAATAAGGGCCTCAGCTCTCACGAGAGTGGTAGAGTATCTGGACTAAGAATTAGAAGGTCATAGGCTAGTCTCCTGTCAGGACAACGTTAGATTTTCTAAAAAAAATATGGTAATAATTATCCTACAACCAAACTACCAAAGTATCAGACACCCAAACTTTGTTTTGTTTTCTGCGAAGGCTATAAGCATTTGGCTTTATAATTAATAAGTTTAAGAAGCTTAGATCACGTGTGATCCTCTCACTTCGACAACGAAAGCCCTTGAATCTGATTCACACTCACGGTCTGACAACTGAAAACAATCAAACGAAGAAAAAAGTCATAAACTTTGATCGAGACTATACTGAACCTGAAGCTTTTCCAGTTGCGTTTGTAGTTGTTCTTTGCTTTTCCGCACATTCTCCAACAACTCCGTAGCCTCTTGGTTGGATTGTAACGACTGAAAACCAAAAACGGAAAACAAATCAATCGTCTACATATAGACCAAACTAGTTTAGAACTAAGATGTTCCCGTCGCCCGATTTATTTGTCACGAAAATATCGATTTTCTTCCGGGAGCAAGTGGCAGAAATACTTAACGAGAGGGGACAAAAACAGGTGAAAAGATGAACAAAATGCAGCTTCCTGGACCCATCCCGATTCGCATGTTTTATTTTTAAACTTGGTCGCGTTTCTTCCAACTCACTTAAAATGTCATATGTGGGTGAATTTCTCTGGGGTTGAATTCTTGGGTCCGCACCCAAGTTTAAAAAGAAAGAGAAAGAAATAGTCGTTGTCGTGTTTACATCCTCAATAAAACGTTCACGTCGTAGTCGTGCAATGACGGCAAAGATGTGTACTAAAGAGTGTGCTGCACGTGCAAAATTGTTATGCACATGGCCGTCGCATTTGCCTGTCGGCTGCAAATGAATCCACCCTAAACCTTTTGCCATTATTTGTCGTTTTTGTTGCCGTTTCTAACAGCGTCGTCGTTCCTAAAGTCACCAACTTCGCACTCACAGAAACAAGACGAGAAAGGTTAAAGCAGAGTCGAATTCAATGCAACTTTCTTTTCTTACTTTGGCTAACTTTTGTCGCAGTTCCGAGATCCTTTCTTCGCTGTCCTTAGTGACTCTATCCAGCTTTTCCTGCCACTCCACCATGCTTCTTTTCGCTTCTTCATTCATCTTTAATGGCGACAAAGACAATATCTTCAGCAACCTCAAAGCTACACAAATTTTTAATCTTTAAGCCTAATTCTTCACTATTTCTCATCTTACTGTACTTAACTTATGAACAGGTTTCCTTTTCTTTGCTGTCCTATATATTTGGTTTGTCCCCGTTAATTAGTTAATTTGGTAGTTAAGTTTTTTACTTTATTATACAAAACGCGAGATAAGCAACGGCTATTTCTGTGTTGACTAACGAAGAATTGTATCAGACGAAGTATTGGCGAAAATTGTAAGAGGTTTTATATCCTGATTAACATGAGCACTTGATATGAAAAAAGCACAAACACCAAACAAAAAACAAATCTATCGACCAACTGTGATATAGGCGTCTAGCAACGAATTTTTTACCTTTGTCATTCGCGCTTGGTGATCATTTATACGGCTCTTGCTGACTTCAAGAAGCTGCAGAGAAAAAAGCGTTTACAGTGTGAACATCTTGAATTTTTACCGTGAACACGAACATTTGCTGTTTCGAGCCAGTATATTACTCTGTTTGTATTGTAAATGCTCATATACTGTTAGATAGATGTTAAGATCGATGGTCAAGCAAAGTGTTGGAAGAAATTGCCGTGGACAGCCAACAAGTCCTGCCCTGTTATCGAACAAGCTTGCTCCTTGTATTGAATATTAAACAAACTAACAAAATCGCTTTATTCAGTAAACTCAAGACCTTTCTCTACATACAAAGAAATGACAATCCCTAAATTTCACAAAGATGAATTGTTTCCACTTTGTCCGCATGATTACTGCCAGTACATGATTTATTTTCTTTCTGCCAGACCTTTTCCTGTGATTTGAGCTCCTCCTCAAGTCTTTGTGCTCGT